GCTAATTACACATCACTTTAATTAGCGGATCAACCCCCCCCTCCTTCCCTGCCCAGCATCCCTAATTGCCTAATTGAACAGATCCGGGGCAGGACGGGGGGGGGGACCCGGCGGCGGCCCCGCACCTGCGGCGGTCCCAGGGAGAGAGAGGAGCGGGGGAGAGCCTCGGCGAGCTCCCGGTTCCCGAGGGATGGGGGAGCCGGGCCGGTGTCTGCCCTCGCGGCCCGGAGCTCTGAGTAGGGACTGGGCACAGGAACAGGCTTGGGAATGGGGAAAAAAAAAAAAAAATCTAAGCGGCCAAAAGCGCCATAAATTTTCCTCCTCCGTGTGTTCCAGCGTTGGAACCGTCTGTGGGAGCACAAACAGAGCCGCACGCCGGGAAGTGGCGCTTGGGCTGCAGCCTCTGCCTTCACTCCTCTCCCGATCCCCTTTCCCTCCACAGTCTCATCACCCTTCATTTAAAAAAAAAAAATTAGATATAGATATACTTGTATATATATATCAGTAAACGGGAAGCCTGTCTCCTTTTCGAAGGCGAAGCCTCAAATCGAAAAGCAGGTCCCGGAGAGCGCAGGGCTGGATTCACAACCATTTCCCCGCCACTCCAGCCTGCCCGCAGGATGCAGCAGCTCTGCCTGAAAACTCCGGCTCCAAACTTTGCCTCGGTCGTATTCCTAATAGTGAAAAGCAAACGGGACCGTAGAAATATTGTCCACCGTTTGCCAGCACGATCCTGCCCAGCCGTGCATGGCTGGGAAGTATACTCGTACTCTGAAATTCGGGGATTTCGAAAGGAAACGAATTTGCTTTTGACGTGCAGCACCCAACTCCTGTGTTGTTTGCCTCCTCTGCACCCTCTCGCCAGCAGCAGCGAGACCCCCGGCCGCTGCAGGACCTTCTCCCCACTCACCCATATTTTATTTTCTCGCTGAAGGGCGAGGCGCACGGAGCAGGGACGCGGCGTGGCCTTCTCCTGCCTGCCCGTCCCGCACATCCCCCGGAGCCGCAGGGCACGGCCCGGCCCGAGGGGTATGCGCATCCCGGGGGGCTGCGGGGGCACCGCTCACCTGGGCACCCCTGGGGCTGCTGCGCCTCCCGCACCCTGACCGAGCCTCGTCTTTTCATTTATAGCCATTGCTCGAGGCTCCCAACCCAGAGGGAAGCCACAAAGCGAGCGAAAACCATTCCCGGCCCCGGGTCAGCTCCGCTGCCTCTGGTGCCTGCTGCTGTCCCGGGGAGTCGGACTGAAAATTGCCGAGAATTCCTCTCCCACCCCAGCGCACACGCGTTCGTCCGCTTTCCCAGCCAGGTAATAGAGTGGAATTCCCAGCGGAGCCTCACATCTGCTTAAAATATTGTCCAATGAAATGAAATTCTCCAGCACACCGTGTTTTTACTGCCCCGCGTCCCGCTGCCTCGCACCGGAGGCCGTGCGGGCTCTCAGGGCACCCGCACCCGCTCGTGGGGCCGGAGAGCCCACGAAGGCCATCTGGGGAGGGACCTGGGGGGTTCCACGATGTAACCGAGGTTCTCGCTGCCTCGTCGGTGGAAACACTCGTGTCCGAGTTTAATCTGTTTAGCAAATAAATACTCCTGGGATATTGAAACCTTAGCTTCGGACTACTGTTTTGAACTGTGATCCCTAAAAAATCCTCAGCTGAAACCCCATAAACCGTTGGGCCTTGTATTGTATTAAACACCTGATTTTAATCAGGGCTCAGCCTCCGAACAGGCGCTTTCCAGGCGTGTTCGCGGCCGCTCCGCGGCTCCCGGGGCCGCAGCTCCCGCGGCCGGGAAGGGCTTGCTCCCGGGCACGGAGCTCCCGGCTCCCCTGCGAGCACTTAAGATACCCAGGCACCGAAACCTCTTGGCCCTTAAGCCACAGAGCTCACCGGGGGAGCCGGGGCAGCGTGGCCAGTCCCACCCGCGCTGAAACGCGGCCGGACCCGCATCGCGCCCACGGGGGCACATCTGCAAAAACCCGGCCCCGCACTGCACCCGCCGGGCACATCTGCAAACACACGGTGTCTTTTGCAGGAGCAAAAAAAAAAAAAAGGAAAAAAAAAAAAAAAAAAAAAAAAAAAAAAAAAAAAAAAAAAAAAAAAAAAAAAAGAAAGAGAAAGGGGGAGAAATAAAAAATAAAAATAAAAGAAATATTCTGCATTATTCAACCATTCAAACTTCGCTTTTCCAGCCAAGAAAGCTCTGAAAATTACTCTTCATTTTAACATCCTAAACCAGTAAGTGATGACTTTTAAAAAAGTTATTATTTGAACAGGGGCGTTTAAAACAGGTGTTTATAGAAAAATAAAATAAAAAAAAAAAAATGAAATTCCAGGATTAATCAAAAAAAACTTCGTCGCAGCGATGTGCTGACAATGTTGACCACGCAAAGCGTGACCAATCCCGCCCTGAGCAGGGTTTGTGCTCGCAGAGCCGAGGAAGGTGTGCGGGGGGCACACGGACACGGTTGGGGAGCTGGGGGGACCTTCGTGGAGCGCGGCGGAAAATGTCGCTACACGAAGGTAAATCGCAGGGCCTGGGGCTGCTGCAAAACCGGAGGAGCGGCCGGAGCTCGGGGCCGGCGACAAAGCGACTTAGTGAGGAAAACTGAAGCGAGGAGCCCCGCGGGGTTTGGAGAACCCGGGTCCCCCCTGGAACGGGGGAGCCCTCCCGGGAAGGGGGGACTGAGGTTCATCACGGGGGGCCGGGCCCAGACCTGCCCGCTGACCTTGGCCGCTGGAAACGGCTCCGAATAACGAACTTGAATGACAAAACGAACCCCGGAGCCCACGTGTGCGAGCGCTGCGAACACCCGCGACCCTTCGCCAGCCACGGTTTGAAGCTGAACCCCGAAGGGCGTCTGGCAGGGCCGGGGCCGCCAGCTGCCCCCCTCACCTGGGGGGATCCCCTGCTCCTGGGAGGGTCCCCACCAGAGCTCATGGAGGGGGGTATGGGGAGCCCCCCCCGCCCGGCTCTGGGCGCCTCCGCATCCCCCAGGAGGCTCCCGTGGAAACCCACGCGGGTTCAACCGGACCAGCCGCCGCTACTCCCCGGAGCCTCCTGCGCTACGAGCAGAGTTTTTAGCGGGGCACGGACTGCGCTGGAACTTCTGCAGCCTCCAGAGCCAGAGCGAAACAGAAACTAAATAATAATAATAGTAGTAGTAGTAGTAATAATAATCATAGCAGTAATAGTAATAATAATATACAAGAGAAGGACAGAAAAGCTGCCCGGGCTGCGGGATCCTGCGCTGCACCGAGCCTAACAGGGAATCGGCGAGGAACCAGCCCGAGCCTTTGCAACGGGACTGCGAGAGCGGGGACACAGAAGTCCCGCTCTTCACTACAAAAGCCACATTCTCCTCCTCGGAAAATCCATTCTAAAAACGACTTGAACGAAAGAACGGGAAAGGGTCCGCTAGCAGATGGAGGGGAAAGCTGCGCGAGACTTACGAGCTGCAATTCCACCCCCAAGTAAATTTTAAAAAATTAAAAATTAAAGACACTCCCCCACACTCCCCTCCCCCAGACCTTCTTAACCCCCAGCTGGGACACCCGAGCTGCCTTCAGGATCTTCCCTCTGGACCTGCAACTCCAAAGCCCCTCACTGAGAGCGGATCCATTTTTGCTACAAATTCTCTTCCTTCCCTCTGCTCGATAATTGTTCCCGAGACCAGAAGGGTTTCTC